AAGTCTTTTGAAGAGATGAACAAATAATTCCTTCGGGCATTTTGCAAAATTACAAAGGCTGTTACTTAGCCTTTATAAGGTGTGTGACAAACAAGGGGATTCTTAAAACCCCAAACACAGAGCAGAGGGAAATCAATCTCCCACAGAAATATCCTTGGGGACAGCAAAGGAACACAATCTTTATTAAGGCAGTTGACAGGATATTGATGCAGGAACAGTAATTTTTTGGCATACAATAGTTTTTGTCTGGTGAGAACTATCTGGAATAGCAGATAATATTTTATTAGTTAATCTTTCAGACTAGGAGAAGCCTAATGTTCATTGAAAATTATATGGAAGTCATAGCTAAAAATAGTAATTCATCTTTACAAGTACTTACATGGAGGAAACAGAAATGAGCATGTTCCCCATGCCCCTGCCCACAGACATAACTATACATTTATACCTGCCTAAATTAAAAACCTGAATGAGATTACTAGATTATAGAAGGAAAGAAGAGCAGCTACTTAATTTTTTTTAAGACACAACTTTTTTTTTTTTTTTTTTTTTTTTTTTTTTTTTTTTTTTTTTTTTTTTTTTTTTTTTTTTTTTTTTTTTTTTTTTTTTTTTTTTTTTTTTNTTTTTTTTTTTTTTTTTTTTTTTTTTTTTTTTTTTTTTTTTTTTTTTTTCCCAGTTTGAGCACTTTGGGGAATCTTACACCTGACAAGGTCCATGTTTTCTTTGCCAGTTGCTGGCTCCTACATAGTACAGTGTGGCTACTCAAATCAGAAATGCTGGCATATAAGAATACTGCTAATGGTTTATTCAACTGATTTAAAAACTGCATGTTCAAATGCTTATCCCATCCAAGATTTCCCTCATGTCTTACCACTACCTACCTCACAGATTTTTTATCTTCTCAGTTTTTACACTGATCTTCCTTGATGCCCTCAGCTATTCCTATAAATTTACACAATGGCTTTCTTTGTAGACTTTCACTGGGAGCAACTAACTCTCTTCTGTCTGGCTTTTTGTATCTTTGAAAATCTCACAGGAAACTTTGTCTCTCAGTATTTTCTTTGGACACAATGTTTGCACTAGCACTTTTAGCATCATCACTGTACTCTGTACCTGCCTTGTTTTAACACCATGACACCTTTGGCCTCTCTATGTAAAAGACAAAACTGAAGTTCTGCTGACTTCTGTATCTAACCTATTTTCTTCACCTTGCTTTTTCCATGCCTTCTGTACTTTATCAAGCCACAGTCAGCCACAACACATGCACTACTCTAAAGGTGATCCTATCCACTGTTTTACACCATACTGCATGCCACAAAAAAATGTTAAAGAGGTTTGTTTATCAGTAAAAAAAGCACTTACTGACAAAGTGTTTCTTAAAATTATCCTTACTTGACATCTGACTGCAGAAAGTTTGGATTGTTTTTACTGCAGTCCAGAAAATTGCTCCTGTATCTGATACTGATTTTGCAAAGTAGCAGCAAATAATTAGACTACCTCCTGGATTTTTTGATACTGCTGCCTTTAATAAAGCTGACAATATCTGCAGCAGTTCTCCAGCTGCCCAACAGAAGATTCAAAAAGCTACATTTAAATCAAGCATATGGCCATGCTGGAAGAGAAATGAAAAGAATACTGATGCCCTCTCGTGTGCTACATAAGCGATAGAAATTTCTTGCTTATTTTGTAAATTTTTCAACGTTCTGAAAAGCTCCTAAAGATCATGCACATCTATAATAAAAGTTACTTTGAGATACATACTGGGAGCACTGGCCGAGGTTATGAGCATTGATAGACCAAGTGCTTTCTGATAGTGCTCCTCTAATAAAAATGTAGTCATCAAGTGTCAATTGACTATCTAAGAAAAGTAATGTGGAAGAACTGCACAATCACAAGAACTTGCTATGAGCCAGAGGAGCACACAAATTGGATTTTATTGGTCTAATAACCCATTTTACCAGTGTATATTTCTGCCCAGAATGGAGAGCACACATCCTCAGCTCCAAGCATAGAAAACAACAGATTTCCAGCCTCTGCATGTGGCTCTGCAGGCTATGGCAGAAGCAATGGCCCAGGCAGTGTTCATTTGTGCTGTGGAAAAGTAGCACTTTGTCCTGAGCAGCTACCACCTGCAATCCAGGACAGGTCAAGAAGCAAAGGCTTACACTTACCCTTTTAGCCTACTCAACAAGACCTTCCTCATCCTCAGATATACATGCTGTTCTTCCAGACAACACTAAAGTATCATTGGCAAAGATTTGAGTATGTCTCTGTGGAAATGTAGACAAGGGACATTTCTAAGAATACTCAAGGAAACAGTCATTTAAATATTATATTATTCTGTATAGATTTGTTGTGAAACTTGATCTCTTTCTTCCCAAATTGTCTAGCAAGCACATGCCTGATATTCTGAGTTTTCACAGCATGTCATGTAGTTAAAAACCCCGAGTCTCACCTGTTTTACATATTTTTAGCATAAACATTAAATTCTATATGTCTAGTCCATAATGTTTCAACAGTTATACTCAGTGTGCTTTGTATAAATTATCTGGGTTTAAATACAGCTAAAATATCAAAATGTGCCTCAGATGTGTCTATTTCCATTTTAAATGTGATGAGTAAATATATACTTTTTAGTATCCTTGCATTTTTTCTTACTTATTTTTATAGAGAGTTTTATATATATATATATATATAATTCCAATTTTGTCTTTAAATATCACTGAGTAATGAATATCCTGAAAAGGCAGAATTAAGACTGAGCAATAAGTAGCATTGTTGTTTTTTATTTCCTAAGACTGTGCTCTGGGTTATATCTTTACACTGGAATTGGTCCAGCCTTTGGATATTAATTTTTGCATTTTGGCAGTGAAATCATGTGTTTATTCCAGTCAGTTTAAAGTTCATCTCAGAAAACTATGAATTAGCACATTACCAGAACATTCCCAGGGGGGCAATACATGTTTGGAGGCTGCCACACTTGCAATAGTATGTACACTCCTGTCCTGGTTTAGGGCAAATTTGGGAGAAAGCCTCTGGAAGGAGCCCCAAGAAAGCAACCCCCCACGGCCCCTCCCCCTACCTGGTTCGGGAAGAATTTCCTTGGAGAGAAGTGGGAAAAAACCCTGTTTTATTTAACAAAAAAAAAAAAAAAAAACCCCCCCCCCCACAAAAAAAAAAAAAAAAAAAAAAAGGACAACACTAGATGACAAATCTCTTTCACCACTCTGAAGAGATGGCAAATTCAGAAAGCAGAAAATGTCTCCTGGGAGTGGTCGCCCAGTTCTTGATCTCTGGTTGTTGCTGTGCGAGACCGGTTCTGGGCGGGCGCCGGCGGGAGCACGGCGGGAGGAGGAGAGAGGCGGCGGCCGCTTTCCCCTGCGGCTCTGCGAGGCTCAGTTCTAGCGCAGGAACAGATGAGAGGGCGACACGGGGCTCGGGTGCAGACACGTGTTTATTGTGGGAGCGCGTTCCCGAGACACCGGGCACCGACCGAGGGTCGGTTATACCCCGTGCCGGGGCTGGGGGAACCTGAGCCGCGGCCAATGGGACGGGAGGCAGGGGACAGGGGCAGGGAAACACCGGGGTCCCCGGAGAGGCAGGAGCAGCGAGGGGAAAGGGACAAGGGGGAAGGACAAGGGAACAAACGACTGGGACAAGGGACCGCGGGGGGAGGGGGAGCGATAAGGGAACGCAGGGTCGGGACAAGGGACCGCGGGGGGAAGAAGAGAAAATTACAAATCCTGCATCCGGTGCTGGGGGTGCCTGCTGCAGGTCACAAAATGCAGACTCTCGGTGTTTCTCAGTGTTTCCCAGGACCCAGTCCGGAGCAGGCTGGAATGGTATTCAGGAAATGGAAGGGAAAAAAAAAAAAAACAGTCCAGGGAAAAAGAAGATTGGACTGCTTAGCTAAACTAACTAATAAGCAAAGGCAAAATCAGGAGCAAGAGCAAGCAAGCAAGCCCAGCCAGCAGGCACTAGTCTCTCCTAGACAACAGAGCATGGGGGGAGGTGAGCCGGCTGGCAACAAGACAAAACAAGCCTTCACTTTCAGAGTCAGTTCTGAAAACACAGAACATAATATCAAACATAAACAGAACACAACGATTGGGGATACAAGCACCGTAACATCACTCTAGGACAACTCCCCTAGCAAAAATAGTCACAAGGCAGAGTAAGAAGACATTACACACTGACAGTGTATAAAGTCATCCTGTGAAGAAACTTACTGGGTTTATTCACCTTTATCTCATATTATGTAACAAAATAGATAAAGTACAATGTTCCTATACACCCAAAACGATTTGATTATTTTATCTACCAGTGAGAGAACAGAAAGGAACTTTGGATGATGTCTTATACAACAAAGTAATTAATCAAATGGGTCTCAGAAACTACCTATATGAAGAAAGTAGTCCCATCTTTCACAGGAAAATCACAAATTCATAAAAGGACTCTAAAAAAGCTGCTACCTTTTCGCTTGCTTCTATCAAAAGATTGTTATTGCTGCCCTTTAAATTAAATCTTTCAGCTGAATGAAAGAGGAATGCAGATTTATGCAGAGTGCTAGCGTACTGCTCTCTAAGTAATGCCAGCTGGGGAGGGAAGCATTGGGCTTGTCGGGAGAGGGACTGGGTAGCATCCCTCGGGGGAGCGAACGTGACTGGGATCCGGTTCCTGCTCAGGCGCAAGCGGCGCGGAGCGGGGAGTCCTGCGCAGCCTCGCCCTTTGGCACGGACAGATGGGAAGCGGAGCGGCGCAAGACGAGGACGAGGGCGCGGGGGTGGGCTGCCGCAAGACGAGCGGCACGACCATCCTTTTTCCCCAGCACAGCTGTGGGCTCCTCTCCTCGCCGCTGAGGGTGGGAAGGGGCAGGCAGGGGGAGGTGCTGGGGGCCGGGCGCCCTGCCAGGCCGGCGCTACCCTCCTCCCGCGGACGGCCCCGGTCCCGCCGCAGGCCGAGCCGCTTGTTCAGTGCCGGGGACGGCAGCGGCAGCGGGGCCGATGGTGGCGGCGCGGCGGCGGCGGCGGCGCTGGGGGGTGCTGATGCTGCTGGCAGCATACGTGGGCTACCTGGGGCTGGGCGCCGCCGTGCTTCAGGCGCTGGAGCGGCCGGCCGAGGTGCAGGCGGCCCAGAACCTCCTCCGGGAGCACTGGGAGCTGCTGGCCAACAACACCTGCCTGCAGGGGCCCGCCCTTCAGCGGCTCATCGAGGTGAGCCTGGGCACGGCGGCGGAGCTGAGCTCAGCACCTGCTGGGGCTGCGGGGCAGGTGCTGCCTCTGGCCCGCTTGGCGAGAGCGGGAGGAGGAGCGGCACCAACCGCGCCTCCAGCCCGAGAGTAACTTTAAAAAAGAGCCAACAAGAACCAGCAAACTTTTTCCTTGTGTAAGTGTATGTGCGCGCATCCCGAAGAAGCCGCCCACGGCGTGGGAGCTTTCCGCGGGCAGCCGCCTCGGTCGCATCGCTCCGTGCCCGCGGGCGCGTCGGGCTCCCCCAGCGCTGCACGCCGCGCTGCGGCCGCCTGTGGTCCCCGCTGATAGAGAGATGCTTTCGTTCTCCACTGCCGTCCCACGAGCTGCGGTGTTTGTGGGTTTTGAAGCGCCGCTGTCCTGACCGAAGGCAGGCGGTGGCGGAGTATCCCGCTACGTGACAATTAGCTGCGGTTAATTACAGGTAGTTTAGGTTTGTTCTTGCGCTTAGGAAGCATGAGTTCTAGTCCGTGACATCTTGCTATTGGTAAATTCTAATGGGTAGGCTTTGTCGTGGTAAGTTTAGTTGATGTTTATATTTGTGTCAAACTTTTTCCATCTTCTGGTTGTTTAAAGGGAAATAGAAAGTCGTTAGGTCTCTTAAGTTATCCTTGAAAGTGCTTCTGAAGATATTGCAGGATCCTTGCAAAACGTAAAGCAACAAATGCAGCCTTACTAAAGTACAGATGGTTGCATTTTTATGATACAGATATAAGCAAAGTGACATAAATGGGTTCTCTCTTTGCTCAGCTTTTGCCTGAAAAAGAAAAACCTGCAATATTGAAGTGTCTTGAGTGCTTACCCAAACTCTTTGATTTCAGTAGGTGCTGGTAGTTAGTATGTACTCCTTGCTTTTGTGTGTCTGCCTCAAATAGGTGTTGTCAAGCACAAAGAAAACCTGGGATTGGTTTGGTTTGTTTTATTTAGGAGGGTTTTTTGTTTGTTTCTTTGTGAGAGCAGTGTATGTTGGTGACTGAAACCATGGCAGCTGGTTACTGCAGTTCAAAGAATCTAATAGTGGCTTGGAACCTGGATATATACTTTTTTTTTTCCTCTTCAACAGAGAGGAAAATACAAAAGCCATCAAATAGGATAATCATGGGTATTTCAGCAAGGCTCTGGCAGGCAAAATTATGCTGATTCCTTATGTCATATTCTCAACCCTTGGCTTTCTGAGTGGTATGTTCTCTATTGGCAGTCAGTAGTAAAGTGATCATGTGCTATAAATCTGGGCCTTTGTAAGCTACTGTAGTAGCCACCTTTATTATTCATGTTGTGGGCTCTGCTACCTGTGTAATTTAAATAGAAAAAAGTGAGAAATATAGCAGAGAAGACCAGTCTGGCATTTCAGAAAGCTGCATCTTGGTTAAGCTTCATTCAGCACTACACCAGCTTCATTCAGCATTGTGTAGTGAGCACCTGGTATGGCACTTGCCCAGGGTTTGCAAGTCCTTGGTGAATGATGGTAATGAGGTGCTAGTAGTGGAGACAAGATAATCACAACTAAATAGGTAGAAATGTCACTCTGTCAGTTTGTTTTACTGCAGCATGACCTCTATTTGTTCTTGATACCCTGGGAATAGGACAGCCACTCAAATCCCTTTAGACCAGAGGTTGTTACAATATGCTGTATGAGTAGTTAATTGTGACTGAGCAAGTCCTTGATGGGAAAGATATAAATAAACTTTGTTTAATTTTATGCAGTGTCTGTGTGTGCCTTCATGCTCTGAGAAGCCATACTCTGAGTTTGAATGGCTTTGTGTGTTAGTTTGAATAACTTTAATGCTGAGAAATTAATCCTTAAAAATACACAAAACTGATGCTTTCCTATACTCTTTTCTAATTTCCTATGCAGCAATCACTGGTATGCTCTAGGTGTGCTCAGAAAGAGATGTCTTTCTGTGCAGTAAATTGTTACTGCAGTATGTTGCATATTGTTTATCAGGCAGTGTCATCACTGGCTTCTTTCAGATAAGAAGCTTGTATTCTAGATACACAGCTGATTATTTGCTAATTAAGAAAGCTATAAAGAATGTGTGTGAAAATGTAGTGTGTGAATTTTGATTGCCTTGACATTACTGGCAACTCCTCATTGTTTTCTTATAGCTCTTTGATTCCAGATAATGCTAAACTGTGTTTAAGTGAAATAAAATCCTAGTTTGCTGAGCAATGTACAAATGTAATTTTACAATCTGGTTATTGCTTAGTGCCTAGTTACCAACCCTTGTGCAGGTGGGAGAGCAACAGAGTTCCAGCTTTGATGAGCTAGCAGGAGAGCATGGAGGGAGGATGAGCAGGAGGGAAGCAAAGCAAACAAACCATACTGTAGTAGCTATACGAGTGAATTATCATTCAGTAATTTCTGTGACTTAGGTCCTTTCCAAGGAAGAAGCAGCCTTCTACTTTACAAAGGAGAGGACAGAAGGAGGTAAAGATAGCAGACCAGCAGCAAAAGCAACAGTGGAGGAGAATGTGTTAGAAAGCTTGTGACAGCTGTGGTGGTAGGCCCTGCTTCCTGTAGCTGGGTTTTGTTGGGACTCTCTTGTCTGGAGGAATTGGCCAGCTCTTTCCCTGCAGGAGCAGTTCCACATTTCCTGAGTAGTTGAAAGTAGCACGTGCAAATGGTTTACCTGTAAGCAGATAAACAATGCACGGTCATGTGTTTATACACAGACATAGGGCACAATGGAGGCATTGTGGCCACAAGTCTCTCTACAGTGACGTTTACTCAAGGAGCACGTAAGTTTGGCTTTGTTGACCCATCTAACCCCAGGCTGTTGTTCTGCCATTGTATATTGTCTGACTCAACACATGCTCACCAGGAACAAGACTGAGAGCAGGCCATGCTCATGAGTCACTAGGCAACACACGAAGAGGGCAATATCTGGCCTTTTATTATCATTATGGTGGTGATCTTTTACATGCCAGAATTACTGGATGTGAAGTCACATCAAAGGAAGACTTGCAGAAGATGGCAGCAGATCCAATAATAAGACAGATTGTAGGAGATACATTTTCAATACAATGAAGAAAAGTAGCTGGACTCAGCTGGGGAGAAAAGTATCTATGTCCAGGCAAAAATTATGTTGGTTCTAGATTGGGGAAGTGTCCAGAAAGTGAGGCTGCACGCAAAGAGGACACTTGATGGGCATATTTCTTGGAGCTGAGACCCTTTCTGTCCTTTTGGGGTTGGAGACACCTAGACATGCTTTGGTGTAAATCACTTCTAGCGCAAAAGTGCCTCAGATTTACTGCATAGTGTGAGTGTGTACATAGCTCTGGTCCTGCTGAGCTGTCCTTCAAACTCAGTCATTTTCCTGTATTTGCCAGTGTCTCTTCAATCAGATGATTTGCTGTAGGGCAAAGCTTGGAACAGCACTTTTTGTGTGTTACCCTATTACCATGACATCCCTTTCATGCTATCCTTCCTTTTCTTGGATAGAAACCTTTTGTGTTGTATACATATTTCCCTAGTACAGATGTTTCCTATATGTGTTCTATTGGTTTTCTATTGTAGATATATAATGCTATTTAAACAATGTTGCTCTCATAAAATGAGAAAATGAAAGCTGAGCTAATTTTGGGGGTTTTTTTTTGAACTAGAAGGATGTAAGGTATAGTGAAAAGGGCCAAATGCTAAAGGGCAGGTTGTAAACTAAATGGCTGCAGGTGGATCTAGATACTCTTATCTCCAGAGTCAACAGCTAGAGGTACACAGAGAGAGTACATGTTTACAAGAGCAATGAGATCCCACATGACTGAAAGGTCCTCATCAATACCTTGGCTTGTACTGACATTGAACCAACAGAGAATTGTGACAGCTGTTGGGAACTAAAACCCTGCAAACAAAGTTTACTAAAATAATCTTGTGCTCAGGAAGGGGTGAGCATCAGAGATCACCTGACAGTGGTGAGAGTCTTTAAGGAACAGCAATCGCTTCTAGTATCGTGGAAGTGTAATATCTATATAGAACCCAATTTGGTCAAACTAACTTGTCACAGATGTAATAGGGTTGATCCCCTGTAAACCTTCTTTCCAACTGCATGATTATCAAAATGTACTACTACTTTGCTTAAGCTACAGCCAATTCATCATTCTCTGGACCTGTTGATTAAAAGAGCTGTGGGTGCCATACCAAGAACTTGCATTTTCTGCTAATAATACCATCTTCTGGCATATGATTGACAGAAGTTGTTGAAGGTAAGATCATTATTCTATAAGGCAGTAGGCTGGCACTGTATCATCAGACTTTTTGGAAGGTGCTGAGAAGACATACTGATGACCTCTTTCTGATTAGTTGACTTAGCCCTAGGTCTTCTGGTAGTGTTGAGTACCTGTGTTCAAAAAGAGAAAGGCAAGGGAAAAAGCACAGCACCCTATTATACCTCTGCCTAGAGGGATATGTTCTTTTGATATTATCAAATTCCCAGTTACAGCTGGTCAGGCTTGGTGGGATGTAACAAGGGAGTGTAGCCAGCTGATATTGAGTGGTGAGTGTCTCAGTAATCTGCCCTACCAGAAGGTTTGAGACACACAACTAGCAGTAAATAGCTAAAGACTGGGAGTGCCTTCTAAAAAGATAAATGATTATTCTTGTCAGTTGTTTGAAGATGTGGGTTATTCTTATAGGTACTTGTTCTTCATATTTCATCTTTTTTAATGCAATTAAAAGAAAAACAACTAGGGAAAGAAATCTCAGTTTTACAAGGATAATACAATGCAACCTTTCTGTGTTCTGTAGATTATACAGGCAGCTTCTTTGAACTTCCTTCAACAGGCCCTGCCTATTTCTGTTCCAGCCCAGCTGTTGAGTAACTGTTCTCATTGGAGTTTGGGAAGTGACTGGAATTCAGCAACACTTTGTCTTATGAATCATGCCACAGAATCTTCTTTGATATAAAAGCGTAATTTTCAGAAAAAGTACTAATGGTTTACAGTAGCATTGGTTGCAGCATTACTGCACT